CTGCAGCAAACCTCCAGAGGGGGGAACAACCAGCTAGACTTAATGAAACAAAGGAGAGCAACACGTTAGGAGTGCAAATAATCTCAAATTTTATAATTTCCCCCAAAAGGTATAAACACACACAACTGTTTATATAGCAGCAGGCATTATTTCACTGATCCCCCAAGGTTGTTTATATAGCAACAGGCATTATAACAACACTTTCTGTTTTCATTATTGCAGTGCTTAGTCATCTGAATCCCAGCCAGTGCTCCTTCATACTCAGGGGAGAAGTCATCCAGGATCTTGTAAAACAATTAACTATGTCATTTTATTAAAACTTGCTTTTTATATTTGTGTCCCAGCATTTGACATCCTCTGAAAACCTTATGTAAATGCTTGGCTTCTAACCAGCGCTGTGAACTTGATTGAAAGAACGTTTTTGCTTCTATTTTTGTTTGTGTGTGTTCGCATTTGTCGAGCAGATGGCCTTTCAAGTTCTTGAAGCTATTAAAGAAAAGCCTCATTTAACTGAAAATAATTCAAAAACTGCTCAGCTGCCCTAATAATACATGAACGTGGATAGTGTAATAGTGGCTTGGGTACCTGTCTCGTGTAGATACAGGTGGTTTTACAACAGCATGCTGCCACGTTGATGACCTGCTGCCTGAAGTACCCCTGTCTGAGACCAAAAAAGCACAAAAATGCTGCAGGTTTTGGTGCAGACTCAAATATTATGCACAACAAGCACCGAAGTGACCGGTATCCTGAACTTGATGAACACAGTCTGAGCTACGAGACTGCTCCCACGTGTCTTAGAACAAGATGAATATGGCTGGGGAAGCAATGTGGGAAATGATGAACAGATGAGTTCGGGATTGGAGTCGTTGGGAGCTCCTAAAAAAAAAAAAAGATATTCCAGACCAGATACTCTGTGGTTTCTCTTTGGAAGTAAACGCATGTGCTCTTGTACCACTCGTCATTAAATAATCTTACAGGCATTAGGATAGGAAATAGCCTACTCTTTGCACCTAAATGCAGGATATCATTATTTTTCTTAAGAGGCAAAAGCCCTAATTTCGATCTTGGGTGCAACCTGATACTACACAGAAATAGAAAGATAACAAAGTGGTTTCTTTTTAAGCCAGTTTAAGTGGAAAAAGTTTAATAGCTACAGTATTTCCTAACTTATGGAGTTTGTGAGAGAGTGGCTGAACCCATGCAGGTTTGTATTTTAGTTTAATAGCAAACAGGATGCCCACGCTTTCCATGACCTGGTGAATGAATATTCATCTTTGAGCTGTTATCTTTAAAGGGAGGTAACCTTTTTGTATTGTCTGATGTGATTTTAATTATGTATAGCTGTCTGATTAACAAGATAAAAGACCTGGAAGATGCTTGGGTAGCAGCAGTGGATTGTGGAGGTTCTCAGGATGGAGCTGATCCCTGCCAAGGCACAGGCAGCTTTGATCCAGCCACTGCACAGAAGGAACTTCAGGTAGAAGCTGGAGCAATGCAACACATCCCTTCTGCATAAAGCAGTGAGTTTAAACCAGTTGTGCTCTGCTTTCTGCAAGTTCAAGTGAACTTGTTTGTTGAGCCTCACCTTCAGCTAATGCTGCAGTGTTTTGTTAGCTGGAACAATTTTCTCTGCCTTTGATGGAGTTTAGTAGGAAGTTAATGTGTGCTTTAAGAAAAAAAAGCTTTCACCCTGGGAACTGTTGTTTTACATGCAGCTCGTTTCTACGTTCTACGTTTATGGTTCTCTGCTGGAATAAATAGCAGGGCATGATATAAAATACCCACTGGTACGATAGGCCGGTCTTCCATAAAGATAAACTTGCCCTTAATATAAGTTTAATATCTTTTAGATTCTTCTGTACAGGCTCTTTCTGAAACTCTTAGGACAAATCAAAACTTGGAGACTTTACAGAAGCAGACTCTAGGCAGCTACCTACCAGTAGTTACAAATGCTGTCTTCTCTTCCAAGACTTCTCATAATGCTGAAATTTAATTTATCATACAGGATTTCCAGTGTCAGAGGTTACAGATGCAAGTTTTCTGAAAAAAAGGATCACATTAGATGAATTTAGGTTTGTTTTTAAAGATCTTAGAGAACTGTACTCTTCACCATTACGTTTTCCCTTCCCTCTTTATATCTTGAGTTAGCTAACTTGGAAAGCTCTCAGTTACCACAGAAGCCAAGGTAACAAAGCTCAGTGAAATGCTGAAACATTCTCACTTTGAGAAGGGTAAAAGGAATTTATCTGTGATTGAAGGCAATTAGAAGGTGAGTTATTTTCTTAAATATCAATACCCTTAAGCTCTTCTGTCTTGAACTCTTCCTAAAGCGTGCTGCATCCTGTTCATTGCCTCTTGCTGCTGGGGGGTAAGAATTGCTGGTGACTGGTTTGAGAGCAGAATTAGGATGCTCTTTGACGTGCCCGATGTCTTCAGCTTGTTTGTTTCCCGGTACGTTTGCTCCGTGGTTTTGCTCAGTCACACAGCATTTCACGCAGCACTTGGGAAAATGAAGCTGCGTCGAGGAGCTAAATATTAGTAAGGAAATGGCAATTAATATTTTATTGCCTGAGCATCGTTAATGATTTACTTACGGTCCCGTGGTGTATACACAGTCATAAATGGGAACACAAATCTTGGGTGCTTGTTCATTCAAATTAAAACAGGCACGTTTTCTTTGGATGGCTGGTCTGTAATATCCTGGAGGAACAATCTAATCTTTAAATAAAACGCTGCTCTTGCGAGTGGTGCTTGGTTCCTCTGGAAACTTAGCGTGGGGTGGGTGGAAATGGTGTTGTTTAACAGCAGCAATTGAAAATCAAACTCTGTTTCTTAGGAGAATCAGGACAGCATGCAGGCACCTCCTGCAGCTCCTTTTCCTACCCAGACTGTTTCACTGCTCCTCTTCTCTCTGCCTTTCTCTCTGCAGCCTCTGACAAGCAGAGGGTTTGAGCAGAAGGAAGAGAAGTTCTGTTTTCTCAAATAAGAGAAATCTCAGTGTTTCTCCTTCTACATTTGTTTTTTACTATGGGCTGTACATGTAGTGAGTTCTCCAGGACAGAGATTTTTTAGGTTCACTTTGTAAATATATCATCGTCAGCTGGTATTGATAAAGCCACCTAAGGCAACATCCCTTTTATTTAAGCAATTACAAAGATGGAGTAGAATATAATTTATGAAGCTAAATCCATCATTTTTTTTCTAGAGGCTTCACAAAACTTGCATCCTAACTTTGCATGCTATTTACACTATATTTTTTTTTAGCAGAAGCAATGTTTCTGTACGTGTCTTTTGATACAAGCGTGTCTCGCATGTATTCTTCTGATCTTGGCTGTTGGAAATAGAGATCCTTTAATCCAATTCTTTTCATGCTATGAAACCTTAGAATTTAAGGATGACTGTAAAAACGGGTATTCTATAAAAAAAAAAAAAACAAAAAACTTTGTAGTAGGAGGAACAAATGTAATGGTTTTAATTTTATTTTTTTGCTTTTTTTTATTTCTTTTGCCCCAGGCTAGTTCTTTGGTTAACCAAATCCACTGTAATCCCATCAGGAGAATGTGGTGATCATTTAGTAATTTATATTGTATGCTTGTCTTAATCCAGGTTCTGTCACTGTAGCAGAAAATATGAACCCAAGCCCACCATATGACTCGGCTGTGTCCATATGGAAATAATAAACTATGTAATAAATGGCCTCCTGTTGTACAATGCAGTGCCGTGGATGATTTTCTTCCAAAGCAATTTTTCTTTCTAAAACTCAGACAAGCACAGAAATCATTCCCAATTTCAAGAGCCTTTTTCTACGGAGAAACTGTTTAGGTCTTTGTTTGGGAAGTCACGTGGGCTCCTGGTTCAGGTCAGAAACCTTTCTAACTCAGAGGATGCCTACACCTTGCTTTCATGACTTACAGAAACAGGTGTGTAGCTCAAAGAAATATAGTACTTAACTGGTACTTTTGAATGTTTTAGCACCTAGCTTCATCAGTACCGAATTTGTGCAGGTCTGAGGCAAGGTGCAGCTTCTAGAGGGTTTTAATATCTGTTGACAACTGCCTATCAATTTGGTACTGCTTCATTCCAATATTCTTTTCAAAGATGTTTGAATTTAGGGATATTTTCCATATTTGAACCACACGAGGGATAAATTGCCCTGCAGATCTTCCCTGAAGTTTTGGGATTCAAACCTGAAGACTTTTCCTTCTTTCCATGTGCTCTTTTCTTCAAAGGCATTTTTAGCTGGGGACTTCTTAAGTGAGTAGTTTATTGTGATAAGCAGTGATTTAATTCGTGTGTACTTCATTTTGATAACCTGAGGGTAAAAACAAGTTGCAGTTTCCGTGGAGTCAGTATATTGAAGCTTTTAATTTTTGGCTGCATCTCCTTAATTCCAGGTAGGAATTCATACATGGGCTAAAGCAGGTCGATGTTAGAACCTGCTCTCTGAGCCACGTGACACTGGATTCAATTATGAAAATAGTTTATATGCTGATACAAACAGTTAAAAGAACCCAGATTTAGTTCAGCCTTGTGACAGTCTGTATTTTTACCAGTTGATGTTGCTGTAATAATTCCTCTACTGATTCCAGCTAACGCTGATACACTCAGGATGACAGACGACACTTGCACAGAAATAAATTTTTCGACTCGGTGAATGTAGGACATTGTGTTGAAAGTCAGTCTGCTCCCTTAATAACTATTTTTTTTTATTAAGCTGTGAGGCCACTCTCCCGGTACAGATAGGAAACGGAAAAAGCGTAATGAGGTTTAACAGTTGCATTGACTGATCATTTTGTCCCTGTTCTTGGGTGGGTTTTTGCTAATCTGAGGTTATGAGCATTAAATGGAATATTTCCTTAAGGGCAATAGATCTCCTGGAGCTGCTTGATTATCCTACGTTTTACTTGAAAACCTGACAAATTAACTGAGCATATTACTATATCCGTTGGAATCTGGGGTTTGGAAAGCCTTCCTAATTCTCCTTTTTCCTGTTTTTGTAGCTTAGATATCAACACGGGCTGAGTACTCCAGACCTAAGGCAAACTCTTCCTAACCTGAAAAATTTCATGGAGCTTGGGCTAATGGTTAGATGGTAAGTATTTTTCTTTGATTGTGTATTTCTTTTTCCTTGTAATTTAACCTTGTGATTTAAAGGAGGTGGATGCTACAGGAAACATCACTGTAAAGATTTTTCACAAACAAGCAGCTCCTCTTGACAAGTGAAGAGTGCTCAGTGAAGGTAATTACTTTCTCAAACTACAGGTTGCACGAACAGTAGGATCTTTTTGGCTTTTACTTCTGGTTTTGTAAAATCTTTTCATGTGATGGGCCCGTGACACTTGGAGGGGAATTATGGAAGGAGAAAAGACTGTTTAAAATGCAGTGTTTTTACCAAAAGGCAGAGAAGTGTTATGTTAAGACTGAGTCTAAGGGCTGGCAGTAGATGTACCTTGTGTATTGTAATACTCCAGGAGGATGGGAGGGCAGAAAGGTGCTAAGACATTAAGTAAATCAGGTCTTACAGCCTGGTTAGTGTCTGCTCTCCCATTTGTTTTAAAGCTTAATCCAGGTGAGCTGCATGGGAATCTGAATTACAGTCAACACCATCTGAGCATCCTCGCTGCTAAGGAAAATAGCCATTGCATGTTGAGTGTTGCTGCTAAATGGGAAGCTCTGTTAATCAGGAATTGAGCATTATTGAAGCCTTCCAGGGAAATCTTAATTGGTTCTGCTCTGATTTGCTGTGGAGATCCAAAATCTTCTCTGCTGTCTCTGTAGAAAATCAAAGCAAATTGGTTTCTACACTACAAGACCAAGCTAGCATAGGGTTACCTTGCAGAAGCTGCTTGAGCGTGAGATTTGAGAAATTCTCCTTAAAACCACTGAGATGATAAACTTCAACTTCCAAAGGCTATTCACTACTGTGTGTATTACTGCAGGTCGTAGATGCTTCATATTCTTACTTTTTATCTATGGTCTTTGAATTATGACTGCCTGTACAGTGTCTTCCTTAAGCAATTCTTTTGTCCTGCATTCCCATCCTTGGTCTTTGGGTGTCTGAATCCCACCCAAACGTAGCACTGTGCGATTTAAGGAGTCCTAGATCAGTTATTCACCCCTGCCACAAGGTTGCAGAGGTCACATATGGTCCCTGTGTCATTACCTGGTCTTGTGCAGATGCTCTGGATGCTCCAAGGTGTTGAAAATACCATCCAGTATGAGGTAACCACTCCTGGTTTTTGGTTTTTGATCACTTTGATGATGCCCTGGTGATAGATATGGACTCCATCACTGCTTCGGTTCACCTGAAAAATAATTTTTTTTGGTATAGATACTCAGTTTGGGTGGAAGGCTGGTTCCAGCCTACCTAAAGGAAACTAGGTGATTTGAATGGGGTAATGAAGTACGAAGCGCTAATAGGCAAACCTGAATATTTTGAGGCTTGTAGAAAACTCAGAAAACCAAATTGGAACAAATTTTAAAATCTGATGTGAAATCACAGTAAATATCTTGACAGTGGTACTCACAAAGCTAAATTCCTTGCATGTTAAGCCAATGGAAGTAACAAGGTCTCCAGTAGCAGCATGATGCAGACTACTCTGGTTACACTGTTCATGACAAGCATAGGGGCAGCACAGCATAAGCTAAATTTTTCTGGTGATAGAAAAACCTGTCTTAAATTGATGCAGGAAAAAGTGTTTTGATAAATAATCCTATGTTGAAATCAGGGTGCAAACCCTGCTGATACACAGCCTTCTCAATTATGTTCCCACTTCTACAACTTTTAAAGGATTTTGCTTTTTCGAAAAGATTCTTATTGCTGATTTCTAGTAGGCTCCTAAAATGTTGATAGGCTCTACGAGTATTTTTTTTTCCTGCAATATACAGAATGTGGGAAGGAGAACACTTCACTTCTAAAGGCAGTTTCTGATCACATGCACTTCAATACAAAAGAGGAGGAAAAAAACCAATTGCTACTCCAGTTGAAAATTACAGGAGCAGGTTTCAAGCAGGGTTAGTGCCTTAGAGAAATGCTGCTCAGTATCAGACCCTGGAACAAAATATCTACTGCAGGGGGTAACAGCAACTAAAATCCTATGGGATTTCATTGTGCCACTGCACTTCCCAGCTCTTATTTCTGAGTTGCTCTTCAACTTTATCCTTCATCCCTTGTATAGAAATGCTGATTAATAGGAGCTAATTCGGTTTATGAATCATTTCCTTTGACTGGGAGGATAGTTTTGGCAAAGGAAAACAGAGAAGGAAAAAAAAATCATCTTCTTTGACTAATACTGTAAAAAAAAAAAAAAGTGTTGTCTAATAGAAATTCAGCTAGCAAAACAGTGGAAGTAAGCAGGCCCAAAGAAAAGGAACCTCAGTCCTTGCATGGTTTTTACCATCAGTAATTTGAGCTGAAAATATTCTCCCTACTTTTCTTATCCCCTAGGAAGATGTGTAAAGAAAAGCTTTCTTCATCAGGAAGATGAGTGTGTGTGTGATATACATCACTGTGATGTAAAAATCCTTAGATGCTGTGTGGTCACCTAAACAAATCCAAAAATGAAGGGCTAGAATACCTAAACTGTGCCTTCTGGCACATGTGTGGGCACTCATCTGTGGGGTGGGAGGAGTACAGGTGGTAAATGTCTCCTTCAGTCCTGAATAAGCAGAGCTGTGATGTCTCTGGGATGTGTTAAATGGACAAAACATTCACAGTGTAGGTACCTGTTCTTCCCTTCTGGTGTACCCTATCCTGGAAAACTGTTAATGGAAGCTTTAGTTAGGCATTAGGGCTTTTGCCTTCATACAAGCAGGGTTGTTTTTTTCTCCCTGTTAGGTGAGACGCCGTCATTAGCAAGACAAAATACGTTTTTGGTGGGACGATATTTCAAAACGTGCAGGAATATTAAGCATCGTTCTCCGGGAATATCGCCTTCCCTCCTTGCCCCCATATGAATGTCTATGCCTCATTTCCTTCTCACCTCCAAGCCTTGCATGCACAGTTGTTCATTTGTAACTTTTTTTTTTAAGGCTGATGATCCTAAACAAGGCTTCTTAGTGCTTCCTAATAATACAAATGGAAATGAGCCTTTACAGGGAGTCTAGCTCAGGGGGAAAACTGGCCAGGCTTTCATAATCGGGCATTGCAGTTGAGCCCCATACATAGCGGAGTACAGATGCCCACTGTCTCGTGAATAATATCTGCTTACATATATTTAAGCAAGCATAAAAGCCACCAGCTGTTAAAATGAAGATTGGAAGGGATTTTTCGTTTGCAGGCTACAGTAGGTGAGTAATCCAATCCCCTCTGCCACAGACCGTAGTCAGCAAAGTATTTCCAGGTTATCCTTCATTTGCAGGAGGGGAGAGCAGGAGCACATGAGGTAGTGATGAGCTTTTCTTATTTACGGATTCGTTTGCACGGACTAACTTTGTTTTCTGTCACTCAGTTGCTGGTCTTCATCTTCACTTTCCTGTGTTACCGCTGCAGAGGGTTTTTGCTGAACTGCTGTCAAATCACAATCTGGTAAACACCAGCACTCAGGTTGTACTTAGCTGCTCTTTCAGCAGGACATACTCATCATTTTTGCTTTTCTCTGGAGACATCTGTGTTTCTTTGCAGCCTGGAGCGGAATTGAATCCCCTAGATAATCGGGGTAACCCAAATCCTTAGTTATTTCAGGCTTAACCTCCTTCTCTGATAAGTATCAGTTTAGATCTGAGTACAAAGGAGTTTCTTCACTCCTCCAGATCATAAAATAGAAATAAACAAACAAAAATCCCCACAACTTCAGTGGATGAGCCTACTATTTCCTTTCTACCAGAGCAAATTTGGCAGTTGTCTTTTACAGTCCCTGCCCCAGGCTTTCATGAACTCAGTTGTTCTTCCTGGAGCCCTGGGGCAGCCCTTGGCCCCGCTGCCGATCCGGGGAGCCTGGTGCCTTTTATCAAGGTTTAATTGCATTGCTGCTGGATCCCTCTGCTTGGTGAGATTTGTGTTGTTTTGGTTTCTCAGGCACGACGCTGAAATGATTAATACATGTTTTCACATCCCAACTTGCATGATTTATTGCGTCAAGCTTGCAGGTCTACAAGCTCTGCTTCCCTCTTCATGTCTCTCCTGGCACCTATATTCTGCTGTGTTTACTTTCCTTTCCCTTTACCCCTACTGCAAAATATTATTTGTATTGTATGTAGATGAAATCAAGAAGAAAATCAAGCATGTTGGTTCCCACACATCCTGTTATGGAGGCTACAGAAGTGCAAAAACTCATTTTTCAGGTATCAGGGCTGGCTGTTGGCTCACTTTTAAGGTAAAAGGTAATGAACCAGAGTTGTCGATTTAGACTATCCTAGTTGTGATGCCCAGAATCTTTTTCTTTTGGGGAATAATTCTTCCCATGTCTAGTTCCTTAGTCGTGGTGTCTCACCAGCTTCCAGAAAAACACTCACTTTTAAGACCAGCTTTTGCTAATGCAAAAGGCTCTGTGCAGTCTGTCTCTGAAAATCTTTCTCGAGCGTTTTCCAGCTATTGAGAGCCTAAATCTTTGCTTAGACTGCACGTTTTGAACTCGAACATCAGTTTATTCCTTTCTGCATGTTCAGGTTTGTCTTTCACAAGTCTTTGGATCATGCTTGCATTAAATCTGGAGGCTTTCAGCTTTTTCTAGTCTTCAGCTTAATTCAATTTACTCTAACTTTGAGGGTTAGTATTTGTGGTTATTAGTAGCAATTACAGAGCATGCTGCAAATTTGAGGTGTCCAGTGAGCAGGTATTTTCCTAGTGAATAAATTAATAAGCTTATCTAATGAAGGCAATTACACACATTCCTTTAGAAATTCACATCTGTAGTCAGGAGATGTCTTTTGGAGCCCTCATTAAAAAAGCTATACCCCAAAATACTTGTTATGCCAAGGCTTAATCATCATTAAATTTGAGTTTTGGAGGTATCTCTTGATTCATATACTGCTAGATTCAAGAGGAGGCTAAAACTTAATGTTTGAGTTAAGCAAACTCTGGTAGCTTAATTTATGATGATTTTTTTCATGGGGGAAAAAAAACGCGTGTCAGAATTTCTCAGCTGCCAAAAG